GTAGTTCACTCCCCGTATTTAAGTATAAAGAATGAAACCCCGTCGGGTTTTTTTTTGTTTCAAATTAGCCAATCAGCTGATATCATGGAGGAAGTGAGCGTCAATTTTTTTCGAGGCGGGTTGTCCTTAGACCACTATAAGTTTAATTCTACTGAATGTTTTTAGCTAAAAATTCAACTGTATACTCTTGAAATATGGGTAAATAAATGGTAAAAAGTTCAAAGTTATATCTCTTGGTCTTTACAAAAAAATCCCAAAAAAATGCTCAAAAATCAGGGCGTCAGACCAGAGGACCCCTTTAAGTGGATAAAAATAATAAATTTTTAACATACTGCGGAATACTAAATAAAAGGGCTCCTTTGAAATTGAGGTTCGCCCTCCTTTCGTTTTGTTGGATTTCGGAAGGCTTAACATCACCCGTACATCTCGCTGAATCAGCGATTCAAAACTCGCGATCACTGAGAATTCATCACCCTCGAGGCTATCAGTGATTCTCTTACGCTGTAAATTGAATCAATGCCAAGTTTTAGGCCCCTCGAGCTCAAAAATACAATTTTCACATTTTATTAATAGTTTCAATCATAACGAAATCCTTAAAGAAGTATAGGAAAAACTACAAACCAGAATCCATGGCTCAAACATAAAGTCATAAATCAACTAATAATAATCGACCAGCAACCTAACATTATTAATAGACCTAACAATGATATTAAATATTATAAAATAAATATTTTAACTAAGCGCATTCGCTTATCGTAGTCTGTAAGTTGTTGTAAATAGTGTAAATAAGTATATGAAGAGAGGAAATGATTTTCGTATTTATTACTTGCCGGAATAAATAAACAGATTTGGCAATAGCGCGCTTGATTATACCCAAACAGAGACATGGATGAATGTGTGAGTTTAAGATTTCTCTCTCTCTGTAAATATACTTCTAAGGTAAAGTACCCAGTACTTGAACACTTCGAAAAATGGGACTAGTAGTTGAACAGACTTTTAGAATCATTTTTATAAAAAATCTATACATATATTATGAGTAATATGGGCAAGTTATAATTATTTAATGATACAGTAATTGATTTCTGTAAGTTTTTTTAATTATAAATCAAGAAAATTATATTTTTTATAACTTTAAAGTTGACATGTTGAGAATAGCCGATAGATGCTACTTTTTTCATGAAAAGTGTACTAAACGGTAAACCGAACAATCAGTAAAAAAAACGGTATATCATCATTTTAAGTGAAAAAAATTGTACCACCCTATGAAATAGTCTTTTCTGAATAATATATATTTTTTGCTAAGACATAAACTATAATTTTTATATTAAATTTTAGCGTTCAACTATACCTCCCAATTTTCAAAGCGGTACCCAGAACTTGAACAAGCTAGGACCGTATAATTTTAACAGCACTCTAACCTTTAATAGGTTTATAGACTATAGTGATCAGTATTGTGATTTGTATTAATTACTGCAAATTAAATAAGTTTTATAACTAAAAATTAGTACAGTTAAAAATTATTGAACGTTTTGAATTGAGTTTTTTTGATTTATAATTGACAAATTTACTTTGTCATTCATAAAAAATGTAATTAAAAAATTAAATACAAATATTTCTTATTTTTAAATGAACATATTAAATATTTATAGTATTATTCAATAATATGTTATAAATCTTTGAATATTTCAATAAAACGTTAAAAATTTTTGGTGTGCCTATTGCCATATATTTTATTAGTTCAACTACTGCTCCTAGAGTGTTCAACTACTGCAGCATGTAAGAATTGATTGTTCAACTACTACTCCTTTCATAGTCTATCTTAAAAACGTTGTCAAATTATAAATATTCAATTATTTGCGTTATTATGCACTTCAATCAATTCAAAATTGTTTATATTTTCATGAAAATTACTAATTTGAACTAATAATTACATAGTTATATGTTAAAAAGAGGGTCAAATACGTTTTACTTTAAAACCTGTTCAACTACTGGGTACTTTACCTTATCCTTTTCTTTTTTTCTCAGCTGTTGACGTGATGTTGTCAAATCTTTATTCGAATAAATAGCTGACGGTAAACGAATTACAAACATAAAATTTGACTTTAAATATTTCAAAAATTATATCGGTAATGTATTATTATTAAATTTTTTTTATATTTTACAATAATTCAAGTTTCTTGTGTATAGTTTTTTATCCGTTAAAGTTGGAAGGTTAATATTGAAATAAATTCATTAAAATAAAAGTATTAATAGGAAAAACTTACGAAAACTTCAACCGCTGATGGATCTTCCAGGAGCAGGTTGCTCCAGGTGTGGATATCGGCTACTGATCGTAACGGAAATTTAGGACGAGCATTCCGTGCCATCGCCGCCGCATCCGCCATCGCACCCGCCAAGTTATCCACATGCGCCACCGTACCCGCCACCGCACCCGCCACCGCACCCGCCACCGCATCCTCCACCACATCCACCGCATTTGCCACCTCAT